ATGGGCATTCTCAAAGGGGAGGAAAAGGAGCAAGGATTAGAAAGCACTTTCAGACAAACAGTTGATGAGAATTTCCCAAATCCAAGAAATAAGCTGGAGCTTGGAATTCAAGAAGTCAACAGAACACCCAATTATCTCAATCCAAAAAGACCTTCTCCAAGATACATTATATTACAATTATCAAAAATCAATGACAAAGAATCTCAGGACAGCCAAGGAAAAGAAGACAGTAACCTATAAAGAAAAACCCATTAGATTATTGTCAGACTTCTCAGCACAAAACTTACAAGCCAGAAAAAAGTGGAATCAAATATTCAAACTATTAAATGAAAGAACTACCAGCCATGAATAATGTATCCAGCAAAGCTGTCCTTTAGATATGAAAGAGAAATAAAGACCTTTCTAGATACAAAAATTGAGTAAATTCTCCACTACGAGGCCTGCATTACAGAAAATACTGAAAGGGGTCAGCTCACCTAAAGCGAAATGATAAAAAAACAAAACAAAACAAAAACATAACTAGGAGTAAGGCGACTAGCTGGCAGATAGAAGCAGATGAGTGTATTCTTTACTAAGGACAGGGCATTATAAGTTTAAACAATAAAAAAAGATTTGCTATAGCAAGATGTTAATGAACGTTCAGTATACATAGGGACAAATTGAGACAACAATGACAGAAAAGGGGAGGATTCAAAGATCCAAATACACAAAGGGAAATGGAGATGAGTCACATAAAGAAATTGACTAGTGTATACATATAACAATCCTTTTCATATTCATAATGGTAACCGCACACCAAAGACTTGAAACTGAAGTATATAACATAACACAAGAAGGACAGGAAGGAAAACCCACAAAAGCCAACTAAAACAAAGACACACAAGGACAAGGAAGCAATGGAAACAACGAGCTACCAGAAAGCAAAAGAAAAAATGGCTATAGGAAAGCCTCATATTTCAATAATCACCCTAAATGTAAATAGAATGAATTCACCAATATAAAGGCACAGAGCTTCAGATTGGAACAAAAGACAAAACCAAACCATATGTTGCTTCCAGGAGACACATCTCAGTTCCAAAGACAAATATAGACTCAAAGTGAAATGGTGGAAAATGATATTTCAAGCAAATGGCATTCAGAGAAAAGCGGGAGTAGTGGTACTAATGTCGGACAAAACAGACTTCAAAATAAAAGAGGTAAAGAAAGCTACTGAGGGATATTTCATAATGATAAAGGGAATTATGCACCAAGAAGACATAACTCTTATTAATATCTGTGCACCCAATCATGGAGCTCCAAAATATATAAAGCAATTACTAACAGAACTAAAGGGAGAAACAGACCTAAACACTATCATAATAGAGGACCTAAATACCCCACTGTTGGAGATGGACAGATTATCCAAAAAAAAAATCAATAAGGAAATAACATCCTTAAATGACACATTAGACCAACTGGATATAATTTACATTTACAGAGCCTTCCATCCCAAAACAGCTGCTTATACATTCTTCTCTAGTGCACATGGAACAGTCTCAAGAATCAACCACAAACTGGGACACAGAGATAGCCTCAACAAATATAAGAGGGTTGAAATCATACCAACCATATGCTCTGATCATAATGCTTTGAAGCTGGAGATCAACTGTAAAAGGGAAGACGCACAAATACATGGAGATTAAACAACATACTACTGAAGAATGACTGGGTCAGAGAAGAAATAAAAAAGAGAACAAGAGATACATAGAAATAAATGATAATGATAGTAGAACATATCAAAACTTTTAGGACATGGCAAAAGCGGTCATAAGAGGAAAGTTCATATCATTACAGGCCTATCTCCAAAAATAAGAACAAGCCCAAATAAATAACCTAATGCTTCATCTTAAAAAACTAGAAAAGGAAGAACAAATGAAGCCTAAAATCAGCAGAAGGAAAGAAATATTCAAAGTTGGTACAGAACGAAATGAAATTGAAAACAAAAAATAAATAAATAAATAATACAACAAAGACATGGTTATTTTAGAATGTTAATAAAATTGGCAAACCCATGTCTAGACTCACTAAAGAAAAAAGAGAAAGGACACAAATAAGGTCAGGGATAAAAGAGGAGCAATTACGATAGACACTGCAGAAATACAAATGATCACAAAAGAATACAATGAAAAGGTATATAATATCAAATTTAATAACCTAGAAGAAATGGACCAGTACTTAGAAAAATATAAACTTCCTAGACTGAATCAAGAAGAACTGGAAAATCTAAATAGACCGATCAGCAGTATGGAAATAGAAACAATCATCAAAAACCTACTAAAAAGTAAAAGTCCAGGACCAGATGGCTTTACCAGTGAATTCTACGAAACATTCAAAGAAGATTTAATACCTATTCTCAAACTCTTTCCAAAAATCGAAGAGGAGGCAATACTTCCCAACTCATTTTATGAGGTCAATATTACTCTGATATCAAAACCTTGAAAAGATACCACAAAAAAAGAAAACTACAGACCAATATCTCTCATGAACACAGATGCAAAAAACCCAAATAAGATACTAGCGAATCGATACAGCAACATGTTAAAAAAGGTTACACACCATGATCAAGTGGGCTTCATCCCAGGGGCACAGGGATGGTTCAACATACACAAATCAATTAATGTGATACATGGCATAAACAAATTAAAAAATAAGAATCATATGATCATATCAATAGATGCAGAAAAAGCCTTTGATGAGATACAGCATCAATTTAGGATCAAAGCACTTAACAAAATTGGTACAGAAGGGAAGTACCTTAACATAATAAATGCCATATATGACAAACCCTCAGCCAACATTATACTTAATGGTGAAAAACTAAAAACCTTTCCTCTAAGATTAGGAACAAGGCAAGGCTGTCCACTATCGCCACTGTTATTCAATATAACATTGGAGGTCCTAGTGAGTGCAATCAGGCAAAAGAGAGGTATAAAAAGAAAGGTATAAAAGGCATCCAAATAGGAAATGAAGAAGTCAAACTGTCACTATTTGCGGATGACATGATTCTCTATATAGAAAACCCTAAAGACTTCACAAGAACACTACTAGAAACAATAAGAAAATACAGTAAAGTTTCTGGATACAAAATCAATGTTCAAAAATCCATAGCGGTCCTATACTCTAATAATTAAGTGTCAGAAAAAGAGTGGAAAAAATAATTCCATTTGCAATTGCAGCAAAAAGAATAAAATATCTAGGAATAAATTTAACAAAAGAAGTGAAGGACTTATATATGAAAACTCTAAGATCCTATTAGAAGAAATTGAGGAAGATACAGAAGAAATGGAAAGATAGTCCGTGTTCTTGGATTGGAAGAATCAACATAGTTAAAATGACCATATTACCTAAAGCATTGTACAGATTTAATGCAGTCCCCGTCAAAATCTCATCAGATTTTTGGAAGCACAAAAGACTCCGAACTGCCAAAGCCATCCTGAGAAAAAAGAATGAGGCTGGAGTCATCATTCTGCCTAACTTCAAATTATACTACAAAGCAACAATAATCAAAACGGCATGGTATTGGCAGCAAAACAGTCACACGAACCAGTGGAGCAGAATCAAAAGTCTAGAAGTAAACCCATGTTTACATGGGTCAATAATTTTTGACAAAAGAGCCAAAAACATACAGTGGAGAAAGGAAAGCCAATAAGTGGTACTAGGGAAATAGGAAAGCCACCTTCGAAAGAATGAAATTAAACTGTTGTCTATTACCACACACCAAAATTAACTGAAAATGAATTAAGGATGTGAATATAAGACCTAAAACAATAAAGTTAATAAAAGAAAACATAGGAACTAAACTCATGGACCTTGGACTTAAAAAGGATTTTATGAATTTGACCTCATGGGCATGGGGAGTGAAAGCAAAAATAAATGAATGGGTCTAAATCAAACTAAAAAGCTTCTGCACAACACAAGAAACCGTCAACAAGGTAAAAAGACAACCATCTGAAGGGGAAAATATATCTGCAAGCAACGCCTCCGATAAGGGCCTGATATCCAAAATATACAAAGAACTCATACAACTCAAGAACAACAACAACAAAACAATCCAATCAAAAAATGGGCAGAGGACCTGAACAGATACTTCTCCCAATAAGACATATGAATGGCCAACAAACATATGAAAAGATGCTCAACATTGCTTAATATTAGGGAAATGCAAATCAAAACCACAATGAGATACCATCTCACATCTGTTCGAATAGCTGTTATCAACAGGACAAGTAATAACAAGTGTGGGAGAGAATGTGGAGAAAAAGGAATCCTCATACACTGCTGGGACTGCAAATTGGTACAGCCACTATGGAAAACAATATGGAGATTCCTCAAAAAACTGAGAATTGATCTACCATATGATCCAGCAATCTCTCTACTGGGTATGTACCCCAAGGACTTGAAAACATATATCCAAAAAGATATTTGCACGTAGATGTTTGTAGCAGCATTATTCATGGTGGCCAGGACATGGAAGCGACCAAAATGTCCTACAGTAGATGACGGGATAAAGAAGCTGTGGTACATATATACAATGGAATAGTACTCAGCCATAAGAAGAGATGAAATACTGCCACTTGTGACAACATGGATGTACTGCGAGATAATCATGCTAAGCAAAATAAGCCAGACAGAAAAGGTTGAAAACCACATGATATCCCTTACGTGTGGGATATAAACCTAAAAGCAACAAATGAACAGGACAAACAGAGACTCACGGATATGGACAATAGACTAGTGGTTACCTCAGGGTGGGGTGGGGGGAGGAGGGAGGTAGACGGTATGAAAAGGGTCAAATATGTGATGACAGAAAGAAATTTAACTATGGGAGGTGCACACACAATACAATATACATATACCTTATGTTAAATTGTACACCTAAGTTACTGGATTTCGTTAACCAATGTCAGCAAAAAAAATAATAACAATAATAATAAACAGGAAGAAATAAACATAAAACTCACCTGAGATTCGTTCATTTTCTGCTCTTAGTGGATGAGGATGTGCTGAGGGAGAAAGAAGGAAGAATGAAGTTAGGAGTGCTTGGCCTGCCTGGATTTACCTGCCTACACAGCTCCACACACGAGATACTTACATGTCCATGTGTGGCTCCAATATATGTTGAGCTTAGACATATTTTTTCACTGAGTGAATGTAAACATTTCTTATTGATTTACTACCAATTTAGGTTCTGTGACACAAAAATTAAAAACATGAGATAAGTTTAGAACAGTAATCTAAAGGAAACACTGGATTGGTTAAAACTGTCGTAGAGGGCAAAAAAAACCCTCACGCTATATTGCTTATCTATTTACCTGTACCATTAATCCTTGAAAGCCAGATAATCCAAGAAACCTCTGTAAAAAGGGATGGGGATGTTTAAGTCAAGATGAATTTTTTAATGTCTGTTCTAACCTTCTTACAATTTTCAAAAGGATCTTTTAATAAGAAAGTAACTTTGACCTAACAGTGACAAAATTGGCAGTGACTCAGAAACTGCAGACCTAACTTTTAACCTTGGTTCTGCTACTAACACATTGCGTGATCTGAACCAGTCACCTTCTCAGGCTCAATTTTTTTTTTTTTCATCTTTCAAATAAGGTCAAACCAGATAATCCAAAAAGGAACTGCCTGCACTACCATCCTCGTGTCTCTAAGATCAGGAGAGCGGAACCTCAGCAATTCTCTAGATGCCAACAACAATGGGACACTAAGGGCAGCTAACCTCCAGAAAGAGTGAACAGTGAACCAGGAATGAGGGGAGTATGGGATGTTTAGAGAGAATGACAGAATTTCCATAGCTATGGCTGGTGAGCCTTTCATCCTCACTATATCTTCACAAACTCTCAAAAGAGGTGTAGCCTGAGTGCCCTCTCAGCTCCAGCTCACCTCTCTCTTCTTAAATTTGTCCCAGACTTTCCAAGTCACACAGCCTTTGATGGCTTCAGGATACTGTCATGATTATACATAACAAATAACAAATGAATACATAAAAATTAACTTGGGATCTAAAGAATATTAGAGCCAGGAAAGGGTCTTGGTGGCTAGCTAGTCCAGCCCTTTTTCCTTTTCCATTTCACCAACGAGTTAACTGAGGAATGGAAGCCCTCGAGACTTGTTCAAGCTCCAGCCGCTTGTATTACATACAGAACAGATAAATACAATAGCAGCTAACAAAACCGGAGTGTCCAGAACAACACAACCAGGCCAAGTATTCCTGATATTCGCATTTTACAGACAAGGAATTCGAGTGTCATGACCGCTATTTCGTAGGAACAATCCATTCACAGCAACCTCTAGCCAGCCGCCCCCTCCCCATAAGCCCAGCGAACACGGGACGCACGCACACGTCGCGCACGCGTACTTGTTCTTTCCCGCAGCCCGGCTCCCTCCCTGCAGGCTCAGCACACACGTCACGCACGCATGCTCGCTCGCTCCCTCGCTCCCTACCCACGGCCACACGACCCCGCCAGTTCAGGGCAAGGGCTTGACACCCGCGGAGCCCGAGAGCCCGTGTCCCATGCCAGACCTGGGACCGACTGAACAGAGAAGTCCCCGCTCGCCGTCCCTCGATAGGTGCCGCAGACGCCTGGGGTCCCGCTGGGGTCCGCCGGTCTCCTCCCCACCACCAGGCACCACATCTTCCACCGCACTCCCGAGCCGCACGGGTCCCCTTTGGCCCCCACTCTTACCCTCCGGGGCTCACCCGCAGCTCCCTCGCCGCGTGGACCCGGAGGCCAGAAATTGTTTCCCACCAGTAGCTGGAGGCCCGGGAAGGATGTGCGGGGAGGAGGAGGCGGGGATGCGCATGCGCAGAGAGAGGATGCGACGCTACGGTAGGCGGGAGAGCTGGAGGTAGTCTCTTGGCTGCTTAGGCTGTCTCTACCCTTAGAAGCGATGCCTCACTCCTAAATTGTGAAAGTAAGCCGATGGTGATACCTAGATAACAAGGCTTTTATGAAGTTTAAAGCTTTAACATTGTAAAAGCACTTAGGACGGTGTCTGGCACATCAATCGTTAAGTTTCTGAAGAGTCTCTTTGCTGTTAAAAATCATGCCGACTCCTTTAGAAATAAGCTGGTGGTTTTCTGCCTTGTTTATTGAATTGAGAGATTACTATCTTAGATACTCCTACTGTTTGGAGCCAGGATTCTGCCCGTGTGCATCAAAAAGATGTGTGTCAAAGCAGTGTGCCTTTTAGACAAACCAAAGGAAATGAACAGGTGTTATTTTTAATTTAGATAAATTTATGTTCTATCAGTTAAAATATCTAAACTAAAATGCTGTTTGTGACCAGAATAGTTATTCTCTGGAATGAGAGGAAAAGCAAGCTAACAATTCGGTATTAAACAATAGTGAAAATTGCTCATATGTAAGAAACCATATACCAAACCTAAATAAAAGGGCACACTATCATTTTCCAGAACCAACCATACTTGACCTGGAACCATTCTTTTATGTGCACATCCTCTGGACATTTTCACCAAAGCATGATCATATGGGCATGTTATTTTATAATGAGCTTTTCATAAAACTATATAGCGAACTACTTTCAGTCAATGTCCTTTTTTACTTTTTAAAATACATTCGGATTTACAGAAGAATTAAAAGATAGTCCCATATACTCTTTACCCAGCTTTCTCTAATGTTAATATTTTACATAACCATGATACATTTATCAAAACTAAGAAAGTAAGATGGATACAACTTTATAACTAGAGTTTATTCAAATTTCATTATATTTCCACTAATCTTTTTTTACTGATCCTGGATCCAATCCAGGATTTAGTCACCATCTCTCCTTAGTCTCCAATGTGTAACAGTTTTTTGGTTTTTCCTTGTCTTTCATGAACTTCAGATATTTGAATAATAGTGCTCAGATATTTTGAAGACTGTCCTTGAATTTGAGTTGGCTGATGTTTTCTCCTGATTAGACCGAGGTAATAAATTTTTAGGGAAAATACCATAGAGAGGATGTGCCTTACCTATATATAAGAGCACATGATATCAACATGGCTTGTCATTAACCTTAATTACTTGGTTAAGGTGGTATCTGACAGATTTCTCCACTTAGGATTTTTCCCTTTTCAATCTACACATAGAAGTCGGTTGCTAAGTCCAGTGCATACTCAGGGGGAGAGGAAATAAGATCTGTCTTGTATTTGTGTTCAATTCATTTATTAGTAAATTTGATGAGGGATCCTTTCAGACTATGCAAATGTACTGTTTCTACTTAAAATTTTGGCTGCTAAATTTAGCTTTCATTGGTGGATCCTGACTGCAACAGTTATTACTGTGGTGTTCTAAATGGTGACCATTTCTTTCTTGTATATTTATTAATTGAGATTCTTCTGTAAGAGAAAATTTTCATTTTCCTCTATTTATTTATACCATCATTTAATGATATCAGTTTGGATATTTTTTTCTCAACCATTGTTTCTTAACCCTACCTTTCTCACCCAACCTTGGCACCCTCTGTTCTCTGTTCTAAAATTTTAGCCTTTACAGAATAGCCGTGGAATTATATAATATGTGTCTTCTGAGTTTGACTTTTTTCATGTAGCAAAATTCATTTAAGATTTATTCATATTGCTCCTTTTTTAGGTTGGTTCCTTTTCCCTCTTCATTCCATCCAATACTGTTACGTTGCTCAAATTGTTCCAGCTTTGGGCATTGAGAATCATCATACCTTAACTTTTGGATCCTTTTAACATATCCTTATTATTTTTTAAAAAGCACATCCTTACTTTTTGACAGCACAAGATGCTCCAGGTTCATCCTATATTTTTACTGCCCCAGCCCTAGATTCAACTATTTTTTCCAAGGAACTCTGGTTCTTTTTATTGGAGAAATCAAGATCTGAGTTCTAGATGTGCTTATTGATAATGGGTATAACTGTTTCTAGACTCTCAGCAGACAGAGCTAAGAAATATATGTATATTTACTAATTCATGTTAGCAATCTGTATTACAATATATTTATGTATCTGTGTATGATGCAGGATGGTATAGAGAATAAAGAATGGAATGAATGTTTAGGTTTATCTTTAACTTATGCAGGGCACAGCTTTAAGTCTTTGTTTTCCTATTTTCCTTTCATATTATAGGTAAGCAGTGTTAAAGGTATGGGTAAGCAGTTGCTGGTCATCTGAGCAGGAATCTTCCTTTGTTCTGTAGTTTCCCCATGGTCTGGCCCTGTGGCTGATTAACCAGGTTCGGTGTCTAACAGCAGGCACAGCAGATTCTGAATTCCACTTGGTTTAATATTGAGTCAATCTATGTAGTTCTCATGCCTATATCATACACACGTGTTTAAACACTGATATCCCCTACTCTAACCTAGAGTTCATTCTAGCCTTCCCACCCACTTCTTGCTTATTTTTAACTTCAGTCACACACTTGAGATACCTGGATACCATTAACTACAATATATTTACTTATTCTCTTAGTAATATTATACATGTAAAGTTTCAGAATTGCTAACCCCTGTGAGAATTTACCAACTAGAGAACAGTATTTATGTACAGTTCTTTTTGTTTTCAGTCTTATCCAGTCAAAATGTTTTACAAAGTTATTTAAATCAGATCCTTTCCCCCTACCCTTTTCATTTCAGATTACATGATACATTTATTTGGAAAAACAGAGTGACTTGTCACTGTCTGCATTCCATCCACACCCCATTTGATTTTTTTTTTTTTTTTAATAGAAGAGTTAGTTTCTTTCTTGGTGGTATATAGCTCTATGAGTTTTGATGAATGTATCACCACAGTACCATGCAAAATCAGTTCTATTACCGTAAATATTGCCTGGAATGCCCTGTTATTAGAGCCAGTCTTTTCTCTCCCAGCCCCTAGTATCCACTGATCTATTTTCTGTCCTATAATTTAACCTTTTTCAGAATGTCAGATAGATACAATACTATTCTCCATCCTATAATTTAACGTTTTTCAGAATGTCAAATAGATGGAATGGTATAAAAGATTGGTTTCTTTCACTTAGCAAGTCATTTAAGATTTATTCATATTGTAGTGTGAGGTATTAGTTCATTTTTATTACTGGGTAATATTGCATTTATAGATATTCCACAGTTTATCCATTCACTTGAATATCTGAGTTGTCACCTATTAAGTGATTATGAGTAAAGATACCATAAGTATTTGTATTCAGGCTTTTATGTTAATATAAGTTTTCGGTTCACTGCATAAATACAGAAGAGTGGGTAAGTATATGTTTAAATTGGTAAGAAATTGTAGAACTGTTTTTTAAAGTGCATGTATTTATTATTTGGCATTCCAACAGCAATGAATGAGAGTTCCTGTTTCTCAATATCCACAATAGTAGTTGTATTTTCACTATTTGTTTTGTTTTCCCATTTTAATAGAGATGGAAAGGACTTACTATGGTTTTAATTCGTATTTCCCTATAAGCTATCCTTATGCATGTTTTCACATGCTTGTGTCCTGTAGCTTTGTATCTTTAATAACATATATTTCAGATCTTTTGTCAGTTTTTAAATTGGATTGCATATTTTCTGGTGGTTGTTTATAAGAGCTCTTTATGTATTCTGATACAAATCCTTTATCAGAAGTGTGATTTGCAAATAGTTTCTACCAGTGCGTGGCTTATTTTTTCATTCTGTATCCTTCACAGGGTAAAGGTTTCAACTTTAATAAAGTCCAATTTATCTTTTTTCCCTTTTATGGATTGTGATTTTAGTGTGAAATTTACAAAAATAAATCTTTGCCTAACCTGAGATTTTCTCCTGTATATTCATCTAGAAGGCAGAGAGCTCAGAGCTCTGGTGACCAGATTCTTACATCATGAGAAAGAATTAAAGGGCAAGACGAATAGCAAGCAGAAAAGCACAAGGTTTATTAAAGGGAAAGTACACATCTAAGAGGGGTGTGTGGGTGAACTCAGAGAGAGAGACAGAGAGTGAGAGAGTCAAAGATGTCTGTATTATGAACTTTTGTTGTTGAGGGCAGGGCCAGGAAATGAGATACTCACATAGCCTCATTCATTGTCTCCTCCCAGTAGGTCGGGAGCTCAGTTTCCTGCTCTTCCTTTGTGATGTTTCCAGAACTGTCATGGCATCAGGTACATGATGGGAGCCACAGTATTTGCAATGAGGATGATATTATAATGATATTATAATCAGTCTAAGATCATGCCTTGGCCATAGGTGGCGTCTAAACTGGAATAGGCCAAGTTTGGCTTATCTTCCCTTTCTGGAGCTAAAACAGGGAGGTCTGAAGAAAGGAAAAAATTTCAAGAGCTATGTCCCGGAAGGGGAGAGGGCATCCTTGGGCTATTTTTCCTCCTTCACTATGGATAATATAAGACATGTCTTAAGTTGCTTTTTAGGAACTAAGATCCCCACCAAAGGGATGCTGTCCACAACAAAGCACAGGACATTTTTATTAGCAGATAAAAATGTATCTTAGTTTTTTTTTGTAATAAGTCAAAAGTTGATGTGCTTAGATTGATGTAACATTGTTTTAGTATTTTGTTTGGTAACTATTTAAATACTCAATGAATTTGATTAAAAGACTAGATATACCTGAACTTAGCTTTTAATTAGATTTGTTAAATTAGCCCTCTTAGGAGTCATGGCTCCCATTGTGAAGGGACACAGAGTTTGCCACCCCAAGATATGCCTTTTGGAATATTCATTTTTTTTTTAACACTTACAGCACCTGGTATTCCTAGGTGGTCTCCCATCCAAGTACTAACCAGGAATATTGATTTTAAGCTGATTATTAAGAAACAAAAGACTTAGAAAAAAAAAACTTTGACCTCAACTGCCTGAAA